AACCTGAACTTACGTGTGAGAAATTGATAACTGGTTCCAGAGTCAGCCCTGGGCCTGGATATAGCTACTGATCTTGACGTTCTCCATCACTCTCTTCGCACAGATGTAATCAATTTTATTCCTCTGTATTCCATCCGAAGAAGTCCATGTATATAGTCACCTTTTGTGTTGTTTAGGGGAGGGAGGGGAGATTGAAGAGGGAGAGAAAATGGGGTGTGAAGAAAGAGATGCAAATATATGGAGGATTTAACAGGATATTACTGTTGGTTTTATTTCTTGAGATGGGTGGTGTAAATATATACTGTGTGCTCCTTAAAAAACAAAACAAAACAAAATCCCTTCACATTCCTTATCTATCAAACTGAAATAGTGGTTGAGATGATTGAAGAAAAATAATACAATAAACAGTGATCAGTCTTTTAAGTGAACTTCTCTAACTGTAATTGATGTAACCCACCAGATACCTGTGTATGCATTGTTTGGACTGCTTTTTTTTTTTTTAGAGATATCCTAATATATTACTGAGAGAACTTGTCTGCAGCCATCCGCCAATTACACAGACATATTAAACTACATTTTTTGGGGTAATAAGCCCATACATGTATGAATGGGCATGTGGGTAGCTGTGTGTGTACTCCATTTTAAAAAGTAAATATCAATTAAGTTTAATATTTGTTTTTTTCAAATTGACTGCTAAATTTATAGGATTATTTTTTTCTTTATTTATTTTTTAATCTATTGGTTTTTGATAGAGAACATTTAAAATCTAGTACTATGGTAATAGATTTATAAAATTTACTTTTCAATTTTTAACATTAGATTTCTAGATTAAAGTTATAGTTTGGGGAATAAATAGATTGATAAGTCATAAAGCATTGATGTACTTTCTGTTTTTATATCTATGTATCATTTTTGCTACAAATTCTATTTCATCTAATATTAATATTACTTCATAAGCTCTCCTTGATAAGCATTTTTCCTGCCCATCATTTACAACTGGTGTGGTTTTGTGT